TACAACATAGCATATAAGGTGCAGTGGCCAGGAGTATGCAATAAATGGCAAAGCATACAGAATGCTTTTTACATTGCTGGATAGTAAGAAGAAAAATCTCCCAACATTGGTGCTCAGAGGGTGGAAGGATCTTCTTGTGTCAGTGGTCAGTGAGAGGAAATAATATTCTTGCATTCATATTCCACCTAGCACTACAGACATAGATCTGATTATGGGTGCTATAGTGAGTGTTCCAGTTCCTGACAGTGAGATCCAGTCTGAATCTACAAGGCAGGGGTGTCCCGCTTCACAGGGTAGGGGAAAATTGTGTTGTTATACAGAGAGGGTGATTGCATTTGCCCTGTGCTTAAATTACCTTTTTAGAAGTTGGCTGCCCACCACCTTGAAGAGCTAGCTGGAAGTTTCAGGTGGCCCTTGTCCTCAGCTTTCTTGTTAAGACCAGGGACGGTCTGACAACTCATGGGGCCCCCGGGCAATAGGGGATCATGGGGCCCCTGTGTCCTTGCCCAAACTCAAAAAAAACCTATGAAAAAGGTACCAGGGGCATTTCATGGGGCCCCCTACTGACCCCGGGCCCTAGGGCAGTTCCCGAGTTTCCAAATGGTCAGTCAGCCAGTGGTTAAGACCTCATATTTACTTGTTAGAGAGTCCTAGTTTTTCAAAGATCTACAAAAATACATCAAGCAGAAGCTTCTGAAGGAATTCTACATTAAAACACAAAAGGGAAAAACGTAACAAAAAAAGAATTACACAGAATTGTTTTGCAAAGATGTTTATTCACGTTTTCAATAGTTGTATACAGCACAAGGTAACAGTGTAAAGAATTGCGTATACAAAAAGTGAGGAAGTATAAGAGAGGGCAGTAAGTAAACCCAAGTCATCAAAAACAAATCAAATTTGGAAAGCACAATAACATCAGAAAAGGTGAGTATAGCCTGTTTATGAAATTGTGTATGTCAGAGGAACAACCCCAGAGCACGAGGTCTGCACCTCCTTATTTTCCTTTTTCTAGCTGGAGTTCAGCTTTAATCCTTAACCTGAACTTACCTGTCAGAGGTTCTAATCCTTCCCAAGCTATCAAAAACTAATATAAAAAAAAACACCTTAATTCTTTTATAGTCTATAGTAATTTCAGTGGTGTCAAATGATCTGAACCAATTCAAAGGTTTTCTTATTTTCTTACCAGCTGTTAGGAGCTGTGATACCTGGCAGACAAAGTCTTCTGGAACGGGTCACAACAGGTGGCTATCTTTGAAGTCTGTGTATTTTCATGCTTAATATTTTAATACGACATTTCCATGAAAGTGATCTTTTAACCAGGATTTTTTAGAAGTTGTACTTTTAATTAGAGAAAGTTTAGTTAAATCACAAATTCCACATCAAAAGGCATTTGGTAATTCACCCTTGATTTTTCCCCTGTAATCCAGGTCTACATGCTTTGGGAATTTATTGTTAAATGCAAAAGGCATGTTTTAAAAAAGATTTCTGAAGAAAAGCTCAGCTTGTCAGTATGAATTATAGTTTTCCGACTACATTACTTCGAAAACTAACTAAACACTTTGCAGTTTCTTTAGTTTTTAAATGTTCCTTTATTTACAGCCCCTTATGCAACTGCTTTTGCTTTGCTTCTGCAGATAGTATCAGAGTGTAGTTTTGGGTGTCAACAATGGGTGTTGGGTCACATTTACACCTCAGTATTTCATGTACATCTGCAAAATTGTGTATTTTTGCACACATTTACAAAACCCGTAAAAAACCACGTTTCGCTTGTGGTACCAGTTATTGTTAATGGCACCTCAGAAATGTTTTTCCACATGGATAAACAATTGACAAATGCGTCAAAATTCACAGTTAAATATGTGCAAAGCTCAGCAATCAAAAAAGCTACATGAGCTACTTTGGTGCATTTATCATGCATAGTGCAGCCCATTTAAATCACTGGACTGCCCTATGCGTGTGAGAAAAACACATACACATACATGCAAAAATGTGGCATGTTTCTGCATAGATTATCTAAATGTCTAGGGATGAATGCAGCCTTATGGATAGGACTTGATACCTGCATAGGCAATGTAGGCTGTAGCCTAGGGTGGCAGAGCTGCAGGGGTGGCACATAGTCTTCTATTCTCTGCTGCTTGAGGAAGGGATTGCTTCATACTCTAAAATTTTACTATTTTATCATATGACTGATTAAATTATCCCATTCAGAAGACACACGATGTGCTGGTGCTATTGCAAGCAAACTGTTACAGAATAATGGCACCAACCATCTAAGATCACTGTAGCACTTGTTTCTTTGGATCTTAGCACCACATGGAATGTGCCACATGCTTCAAGTGTGACTCTGCATTTTCACCTTGCCACATGGGCTTTCAATAGTCACTACAAGTGGTGGTTTCAGCACACAGATTCCTTTCAGTTCCTGAGAAAATTATTACGCTGAACATGTAATAGAAAGATATCTGACATATGAAAAAAAAGATTGATTCTCCTTGATTAGTATTATGACAGGCAGATAGATGGTTTTTGAAACATGTACCTGTCTATAACCAAGTCAAGTAAGAATGTTTTAAAGCTTAGCTACTGTTATAACGTTTTAGTTTTTGTTGTAAGAAAGGGTTAAACATTGTTTTTTACTGCTATCTGTGACTCTACTAGATATACTTCCTGTATGGTCACCAGGAGAGAAAATAACGGGAATATCTCTAACATAATAGAGAGGGCAATTATAGTACTTATTTGTAGCAAAGTGGGAAAGAGTTAAGTTTTCACTTTGGTGTGATCAGCAGCACAGAAAGTGTAGGAATATATTCACAATGGGAATGGGTGCACAACGAGGAATAAAAACATAACAAAGCTTCTATTGCAACTAAAAGTTGGCTCACCCGCGCTGTGATTCATGGCAGAATTAGAGCCACTCTGCAAGCTAAAGTACCTAAGTACACTAAAATATGACAGCCTTGGATAGGTAAGTTCTTTCTCCCAGGATCTACACTCCTTAGACCCTAAAGCACCATATTTGACTTCCTATCTCCCGAGCTCTTTTTGTTTCTCCATCAGATCCTCAGGAATCACCCTACCACATTTCCACCCTTCTTAGCCCTACCTTCAAGCCTTTTCCTCTAATTTTTACAACATTTCCTGAATTGGATGCAAACACATGAACGTACGGTCAAGCCTGGAAAGTTATGGGTCAACTTTTCACTGTTAAGAATGTATATTCTATCTACATCCAATCTGTTTATACTAAGTGTATGTTATTGTTTCTACTCTGCAATGTGCATCCCATACTACATTATAAATGTGTGTAAAAGTTTGAATAAAAATTGAGAATGAGAAAAACATAAAAAAGCTGCTAGCCTTTCCCCACTCTGTCTCCAAAAAAGAAAGAAAGGTTTTGGCTGGAGTTGGGCTTGAAGTGAACTTGTGCAGGACAATTAAACAGATTCACTTTGAGATTGTGCTCTCCTTTCCAAAAAAAACCCTGCTTATCCTTTTACTTCCCCTCTGCTTCTATCAGTTTCCAGCAAAGAAAAAATCCTGGTATGTTTCGAGTTATGGCTACACAAGGATATGGATTCTCTGTGTGACAGACCGGATTGGCTCAGTACTGTCCCATGGAGTAAACCACATGCACTTTCATAAGCAGAAATACTGGATATTTTCTCTCGGTGCTGAACATCATGGGGCGTGTGTGAAAGAAAGGTGAGTTTAGGTTGGAGAGGGATAGGGAAAGCAAACCTGTTGCTGTGAACTAAGTGGACTAATTCTAGTGGAGTTCTTTGTATTGACATTTTCTTAAGATACATTTCTTTGCTACATTGTACCTTACCACACAGAGAGCTACAGAAAACATAACTTCAGAAAAGAAAACTTTCATACAAAATGATTAGTAGGTGTGCTGTAGTAGATAAACATTTGTGCCAGTTTTCTATTTGTGATAGCAGCAACTGTTTATCTCGATTTTATACTGTCTCAAGTTGTGTGCATTTTATTTGAATATAGCTCATCATATTTGCATATAGTTAAAGCTATTTGAATTTGTATTTACATGCATGAGAGGAGCTTTGTACATTTGTTGAATCAGAGATGTTTTACTAAAAGCTTTAAAGCCTTATGAAAACTCTGTGATGACATCCTTTATCCCCAAGATTGTAAAGAAGATCAAGACATATAAGCGATCTATTTATAGACTGCAGTTTTTAGCACTTCCTATTGTGCTGTATTTTGCTGCTATGGAATGATTTCATAGGTCTGTTTTTCATATATTTATTGAAACAGAAATTAAAAGTGCTTTGCTAAAATTGTTAAACTTGCGTAGATAAAGGAGAACACTGGTGAAACCAGAAAAAAGTGTCACCAAAATTATTCTACTTTCTATTGAAAATTAAAAGTTATGCCACATGCAAGAGAACTTTAGCAAGTTACATCTGTCAAGAAGGAAGATGGTAGCTGCCATTGCTGACTTATTCTTGGAATGCTTCTAGGACTATGACCCTTATTTTTCTTTTACTACTTAGTAATTCACTGACCCAGAACAATCTTGTGCATATCAGCTGTAACTATGTGTGATGGGGCCACTCAGCAAAACTGTCAAGGATACCCTGTGTCTCTAATCTCCAGCTCTAAGACAATGTCTTTGGTGACATCAAATTCTATTTGTGTTCATAGAAATTGTATAGATGTTCCTAAACTTTCTAAACATTCATCTCATTCAAATGCGTTTATCAAAAGCTATTACTACCTACCAGGGGCGGACTGACAACTCATGGGGCCCCCGGGCAATAGGGGATCATGGGGCCCCTGTGTCCTTGCCCAAACTCAAAAAAGCCTATGAAAAAGGTACCAGGGGCATCTTATGGGGCCCCCTACTGACCCAGGGCCCTCGGGCAGTGCCCGAGTTTCCAAATGATCAGTCTGCCCCTGCTACCTACATATATTATAGTGTAACCAGTCAGCTCTGAGCCCTACAGAAGTCATGTGGTCTGCTATAGATATAGTTATGTCCTTGTAGGCAGGGGCGGACTGACCATTTGGAAACTCGGGCACTGCCCGAGGGCCCGGGGTCAGTAGGGGGCCCCATGAGATGCCCCTGGTACCTTTTTCATAGGCTTTTTTTAGTTTGGGCAAGGATACAGGGACCCCATGATCCCCTATTGCCCGGGGGCCCCATGAGTTGTCAGTCCGCCCCTGCTTGTAGGTGTCCCATAACTTGATAGACACATGCTTATTCTAGGTCACTGACTCATCAATTACTGAAGGAAGAAAGACAATGACAGACCATGCTATCCTGACAGGTTCCTTTTAACCTAAAATTAGATCACTGATGCAATGGCAATCTCCAGAAATTGTTTATCCATCTGTTTTTTTGAGATACAGCTATGTCCCACTTTAGTACCATTATGTTTCATCAAACGTAGCATCTGGAAGGAAGAACCAAGCTATTAATCAAAGGGTGCAAAGGCAAAAACCTGCACATACTGTACACCTTCAGAAATGGATACCAATGCTAAACATGGTCATATGGCCACATCTAAACATGCCACCACCCCAAAATGTAAATAGGGCCCTTTTTCCTGTGCTTGCCTGTATAGTATGTTCCCAAGAACCTTCACGTTCTAGCCTGCAGATTTCTGTTTGCTGCAGTATTTTGGTTAGATCTGTGATGTCATTCACATGTATACTGGCTTCTCTGTTCACTCATGGGCATACCCTGCTCCATTGTGGTTTTATATCCTTTTCTCTTCTATTACTTCCTGGGTTACTCCCAGTTTGCTTCCCTATATATACACAAGTTCAGTAAAACCTGCTTTGTCTGAGCAACATCACAGTTCTCTGAGCTTACGTTCACTTGCTAGTTCACTTGTTACTTGTGTATCATGTGCCTTAATACCCGTGTTTTGACCCCGCCTTCTTTTACCATCTGTGCTTGTTTACTGCTAACCCTGACCTTGGCTTGTCTCTTGGATTTCCAATGTGAGAGAGAGCTGCCTACAAAGGGAGTTACTAGAGTTGAGTACACAGGTAGTAGAGCCACCTACATAGGGAGGTACTAGAGCTGGGCCAGGTAGAGCTGTGGGGACACTTTGGGGGGATTGGGGTTGCACACTTTGCATAGCGCACCCATAAACCCTGCACTCTGAACACAGCACACCCCTGAACTCTGAACGTAACACACTCCTGAACCCTGCACACTGTATAAAGGGCACTCCTAAACTCTGCACACTATACACAGCACACCTTTGAACTCTGCACTCTGCACTGTATGTAGCATAATCCTGAACTTTGCACTCTGTACGTAGCACACTCCTAAACCCTGCACTCTGTACATAGCGTAATCCTGTATGAAGCGTAATCCTGAACTCTGCTGTGTGTAACACTCTAAACTTGTACTCTGCACTCTGCATGTAGCGCAATCCTGAACTCTGCACTCTGTATGTAAAATCCTTACACTGCACTGAATCGCAATCCTGAACTCTGCACTCTGTAGGAATCCTGTACACCCCAGATACAACTGGCCCTTTGAGGGCAACCATACTGCCAATGGGGTGCACAATGAAATTGAGTTTGACTCTCCTGCTCTTCGGCCTCTTGGGTTGAGCTTTGCTGGCTGAACAGCTCAGAGACCATAGGCTTTCTACACCTTCTTCTTGGTATGTCATTATGCTTATATATTTGCATAAGATGAAGTGACCATCTCTGCACAAAACATTGTGGGTCTCTATTTTTTTTGCCCTGTGTTCTTTCTAATTTAAAGTAAAAAAAGTATCAAGTGACAGATAAAAGGCAAGAAGAGAGGGAGCTTTGGAGTAGGGACACAGCGGCCCTATTACATGCTCAGTTTCTAGCACAGAATGGCAATAGTTTGAAAAAATAATTTCCTGTAAGAGAAAGTATTTCTTTCCTCAAATGCCCCCTCTAATGCAAACTATGCAGGATATCATATGATAATATGAAATATGAATAATGCAAAAGGTTGGTTTGCAAGTATGCATTCATAAACAATGTTTAACTTGCAATTTCAGACTGTTTGCATTAAAAAAAAAGATACTTTAGTTCCACACTAACTATAGAAAGCATGCTGGGAAGCTTAAAAGAAGCAAAAAATGAAGGTATCATTATTCTAGTATGTGTGGGTAATAGGAAGGTTTACTTAAGGGTGCTGTAAAAAATAACACACACTTTTCAGAGGTGAAACCAAGTGTTATGTATTATAGAGCTGCAAACGTGCATATTTTTTGCTCATCCATTGGAAAGAACAAACGTAAAAGTGCTAATTAATTCTCTGAGATATAACATTTGTTCATTGTTCATTCTGTATATTTTTAATAGACTGGAGCTCTTCTTTAAAAACAGATAAAAATGATTAAACCTGAATAATAAGAGTTATTTTTTTCATTTTCTAATATAGATGGAAGCGGATTTAGGCTGTGCTCAGTACTTATGCCACTGGTGGCCTTGAATGCAGGCTGCTGGCATAATCCATCTGTTCAGTGAATCGTTCGGCACCATCCCCGAAAAGCTGAGAGACATTACTGAAATGTATTTTTCATCGACAGCACATAGAGAGGGGAACGAGAGCCTGGCACCCCTGTGCAGTACATGCATGCTGACTCTCTCTCTCTCTCCGCACCACTTGTGGCAGTAATGGTTATGTTCCTGCAGAAGGTCTAGCACAACTGGATAATGACAGCTCTGCTACATTATTTTCAAATGTAGCGCAGCGGGTGTCATGAGGTGGTTGTAAAGAAAAGGGAGGGGGGAATGATGAGCCATGGGATGGTAGGATCAATATCCTTAATACGTTTTCTGTTTCAGACACTCACCTATAATCTGCAAGTGCATTGAATGCTCCAGGGCTCCCTGGGCTGTACTGAATTTCACCCAGTCTTTTTTCTTTTTTCATTTAGAAGTCTGAACGATCAGCTTAAATCTTTTTCATTTCTTTTTTTCTGCAGTGCTAGCATAAGTGAGCCATTGTAGCATTAAATTGGACTTATCATTAAAATTTACACTACTACACATGAATCAATGTAGCACATTTTAACTTTACTAAATTATTTGCTTAAGAAAGTATCTCTTTCATTTGTCTACAAATATAAAACTGTTTTCCGGCATGCAGCCTATGTAGTTTAGGTCACATAGTCTCTGGCTACCAATCAGTACTAAAGACAGCCTAATCTCTTGAATCAAAGTGAGATAAAATGAATAAATAGAGCCTGTGTTGATAGTTTTGAGGGATTCTGTTTATGGCATCAGTTAAAAATCAGTGTAAGATGCTTCAGAGATCATTCAAAATTTCCTTGACAGGTGTATTTGAGCTAATTCAAGTGGGATTTAAGCAGGCCATAGACGAGTAGAAAAACAAAAGTTCTGTTGAATGAAAATGTTTTTAGTTTTTCATGCAATTGGGCCATCAATGTTTAAAAATTTACCCTGCTAAAACAACAGTCTTTTAATCTGTGGAAGTGAGGCAATACAATATATTTTGACCTCCTCCATACCCCTACTGTACACTCCCCTTGTCTATTTAAATTGTAGCACATGGAGGAAAATATGATTCATTTCTTACAGCAGAGTACTCCTCTCTGCTTGCAGATTCTATAGCACTTTATGTACTAACCGTCTATTAGTAGACTTGATGTTTCCTGGTGCTGGGACTGAGTACATAAGGTGACAACCCATTTTCATTATAATGCAAGCTCACTTTGTGTATTCCCCTTCTTCATGCAGACACATAGCTCCTACTTGCTGCTTGTTATTCATACATGCTTAATGGTATGTAAGAAAGAACTTTATTGACAGTGAATGTTTTTTTTCCTTTCGGGTTATACTTTCCTAGTTCTTGTGCATTTAATTTTTTTTTTGTACGATTCCCCCATCAACAATTAAAAATATATCTGTTTTAAAAAAATCCAACATCTTCGGCCAGGCAATTTCGGTAGCAGCACAAAAATCGTATGTTGCCGCAGGCACACTAATGATGCAAAAACCAAATGATCTATCGACAAGAATTTTTGTTCAGTTTTCTACTCATCTATGGCCTGCTTTACATCCTCATAGACTTGTACAGATATGCAAAACCCATTTGAGGCAAATTCACCAAAGCCTATAGGCTTCTCCCATGTACACAAAACATACACAAAAGCAAGACTTTCATACATTAAGAAAAAAGGTTTATAATGAAGCGCACTAGTGGCCAAGTCTATAAGTGTCCTGACATTTTTGTTTTGTATGTATGTTGGTGGCACCATAGTACTGGTCAATCCTCCCCGGCTAAGACTGATCAGCTGTAATTGACTTTTCCAGCCAATTCTGCAACATTTCCCTCTCCGTCCTCAATAGATGCAAATATGCAGATTCACAGCTAGTGCATGCTTGTTTTTTTTAAAGAGTCTCTGTTAGTTTGTGGCTGGGATATATAGGCATTACTGTCTGCTGTCTTATGTTTGCAGAAAGCTAACTGAAAGCATACTGTGTGTTCCATATACATACACAGTTTATGTATGTGTGTAATATATATATATATATATATATATATATATATATATATATATATATATATATATATATATAAAACTTACATGAAGAAACTGCATGAGGAACACATAATGGGAAGGCAGAACAACCACAGAGAATTTAGAGAAAACCTACAGTATGAGTTTGGTATTAGAGGTGTACACTCATTATTACTAGTGTGTGTGTGTGTGTGTGTGTGTATATATATATATATATATATATATATATATATATATATATATATATACACATATTATATACACACACACACACACACACACTAGTATAATGAGTGTACACCTCTAATACCAAACTCATACTGTAGGTTTTCTCTAAATTCTCTGTGGTTGTTCTGCCTTCCCATTATGTGTTCCTCATGCAGTTTCTTCATGTAAGTACCATCATGAGCTTAGTACAATGGTATAATGCTTCTGCAATGATGGTCATCACTTACTTTCCTAGGAGGTTTCAGAGTATGAAGATATTTTTAGCATCACTTAGTAGAGAGGTGGCACAAAAGCCTGTGAGAGTCAGCCAAGAAAGTCTAACAAGTGAAACGATGCGATTGTGCAATTAAAACAGAAGCAGCTGTATGAAGCCTGCATATGTATGAAAAACACAGCCATCATACTACTAGACTTTCTACGTCTCTTGCTCATAGTCTAGCATATTTTGAAGTGT